AAAACATTAATGCACGTTAATTTACGTATACTATACAGCAGTGAGGACTGGTAATAAGGCCCAAGTTTAAAACTGTATGATAGATGCGTAATTTCAATGCTGTCAGAATGTCTCTGTCACCCCAGGCATAACCTTGCAAGGAAACGTCTACAGTCCAAATTAGAGGTCGTTACCTCTAGACCTAGATAGACTCTAGACCTAGATAGACCTAGATAGACTCTAGGTCTATCCACCTCATTACAAATAGCTCAGTTTCGTTTCTTTTTGTGGCTGAGTAATGTTCCACTGTATATATATGCCTTCCACTCTGCCTGTGATTCTGCCCTGAATCTTATCACAGCTCATAATAGGCAACAAGAGGTGTTCTGAGAAGCAGTATATGCCCTGGTGACACTGATACCATAAGAGATTCAACTAGCAGTGTGACCCGAAGCATGTTATTGTTTTCTCCAAACCCCTTTTTCTTCCAGAAGGCTCTCATAAAAGGAAACTTAGCAGGCCAGTTTGGGGAGAGTGATTCTCGCCCTGGGCAAAATCCCTCCTATAGCTTCTGACCTCAGGCCATGTGCTGCCTCACAAGAAAAACACCCTCCAATCACTGCTGTGCAGTCCACCGCACCCCTAACCAGTTCTTCATCTCTGATATTTTTAACCTTCCCAATGGCCCAGTAAAAAACGTACTGACTTAATTCTCATCTACAATCTTGTTCCCTCCTCTCTACTTCACCTGGGAGCCGGCCAGATGCCCACTCTAGCTGGCCAGTCTGGGGATTCAGTGACCTCCACCTGAATATACATTCTCCAGCCCTGAGGCTCTAGCTCTCCCAAATGGCCCAGCCCCTGCTCTCCGCATTACCACTAGCCCAGCAGTACCAAGGACCCCTAAACTCACCATCCCTTTAGAAAGCCTTGCTCTCCACTTTTCTGAGCTGTCTACTAAAAGTCATGCTGTAAGAGAAAGAGTAGCAAACAGTAACAATAAGCTAATATCTACCTAACCCTATGCCATATGCTTTCACACCTTAAATAAGGATTTTTAAATGCAGACATTGGGGAGTACAAAGCATTACAGGTTGAAGAACCTAAGAGAACAAGGAAATGGAGTGAGAAAAATACGCGTTTGTGTAGGGAAAAGCAATTTGTTTTCATTTATGAGAGCATAATATATATTAAGGGTACAGGCAGAGATAAGTCTGGGGGTAAAAAATAGCACTGGAACCACATCCTAGAGAGTTTTGAAAGCCAAAATAGGAGTCTGGCCTTTGTTCAGAAGGCAGGAGAAAGCTGCAGAGGTTCCTACTTACTGAACTTGCTGAATCTGGGCTGTATTTTTAGAAAGATAAATTTGGCAGCATGGGGAGGATGGATTGGAAGGAAAGAACTAAAGGTGCTTGTTTTTTTGTTTGTTTGTTTTGTTTTTCACATCTTTATTGGAGTATAATTGCTTTACAATGGTGTGTTAGTTCCTGATTTATAACAAAGTGAATCACTTATACATATACATATTTTCCCATATCTCCTCCCTCTTGCATCTCCCTCCCACCCTCCCTATCCCACCCCTCCAGGCGGTCACAAAGCACCGAGCTGATCTCCCTGTGCTATGCGGCTGCTTCCCACTAGCTATCTACCTTACGCTTGGTAGTGTATATATGTCCATGCCTCTCTCTCGCTTTGTCACAGCTTACCCTTCCCCCTCCCCATATCCTCAAGTCCGTCGTTCTCTAGTAGGTCTGTTTCTTTATTCCTGTCTTACCCCTAGGTTCTTCATGATATTTTTTTTCTTAAATTCCATATATACGTGTTAGCATACGGTATTTGTCTTTCTCTTTCTGACTTACTTCACTCTGTATGACAGACTCTAGGTCTGTCCACCTCATTACAAATAGCTCAGTTTCATTTCTTTTTATGGCTGAGTAATATTCCATTGTATATATGTGCCACATCTTCTTTATCCATTCATCCGATGATGGACACTTAGGTTGCTTCCAACTCCGGGCTATTGTAAATAGAGCTGCAGTGAACATTTTGGTACATGGCTCTTTTTGAATTATGGTTTTCTCAGGGTATATGCCCAGTAGTGGGATTGCTGGGTCATATGGTAGTTCTATTTGTAGTTTTTTAAGGAACCTCCATACTGTGCTTGTTTTTATGCAAAAGCTTCATGGAGAAATTGTCGTCTAAAGGTAACAGTGTATCTCTGCATCTTTGATTACTGTGATTAACTGATAAGAGACCAGTGGCTACTGGGCAGTTGCAGAGAAAGAGTATGTACATATGTTATTGCTATAGAATCACCTTGGTGCTGTCCAATTCCTCTGTACTTTCAGAAAGTTTTCTTTCCTTGCTGGGTCCACAACAGACTCCCAAAATGGTGAGCTCACTAGAATGGAGCTCTCTAACTCAGAATGAAACCCCAATAAGCTTGTCCTAATTCAACTGCCTAAAACATGACTCCTTCTGACGCTGAGAGCCAGAAAAACATGTGATCGCCACTGTAAAGAATTCAGCTGTAATTTTCAAGGTCCCCAGAGGCACTACAGATGAAGTATTAAGCTACAAGAGTTCAAGTCACTGTTAGGAGGAAAATGGTACATTTCTGCAAAAGAGCATTGCCTGGTGGTTCAGACTGTGGGCTTTAGAATCAAGCAGCCTGGGTTTATACCTCACTTGCCTCGCCTGCTCTCTGCGTGACCTTGATCAAATTGCTTAACCTCGCTAAGGGCAAGAGTCGTACCCACCTAGTAAGATCATTTGAAGAATAAATGAGATGGTCTACATAAATCACTTAACGCACAGTTGGTGCTCATATGATTTGATCTCTATTTTTGACAAAGATCGCTCTGACTGCTGGATGTAGACTACACGGGGTGGGGAGAAAAGGGAAACGCTGAGAGCAGAAGAGAGGCTATTTCACTAGTCCACAGAAGAGACAATGGCATCTTGAACATGGGGACAAGTAGATGGGCTGGAGATACATTTCCTGGGTAAACTGGATAGAAATTGCTGGATGGAGACTTGCTTGATGAAGACGAGAATGACTCCCATGCTTCCAGCAGTAGAACTGGATGGGTACCAGTCTAATAGAATAAGATAGTAAAGACGGCCAGGGGCATGTTTAGGGTAGAAAGTCAGGAGTTCAGCTTAGGACACAGTATTTCGAAATAGGAATTGGATGATTATATACACACTCGGAGCTCAGAAAGATCTGAGCTGAAGGTATTAAACTGATGCCACCTAATGTGAATTTATAGGGGAAAAAAGAAACTAAAAAAAGAGAGTTCAGGACTGAAGCTGGAAAACATCAAAATTTTGAGTTTAGTGAGAAGAGGAGCCTGCAAAGATGATTAAGAAAGAGCGACCAGAGAGGTGGGGAGGGAAAGAGGAAGATATGTAATCGCAGAAGAACAGAGATGAGACTGTCCCGAGAAGAGGAGCGATGATTAGCCCAGGCCACACGCGGCTGAGAGATCAGTAAAGTGATAACAGGGAGCTGTCCCCTGGATCTGGCAACACGTAAGTCGGAGCAGAGTGGTAGGCTGGAAATGGCACTGGGATAGGTTACAGAGTAGATATAAGAGCTGGAAGCAGCCTAAAGAGACAATTCCGAGGAACGGCCTTGAACAGACATACAGATAGGAGCAAGGGCTGCTAGAGGATGTGGACAAAAAAAGGAATTTTTGTAGGGTGAAAGATAAGGATAGTATACTGAAGGAAGGAATTCTGGAGAGAGGGTGAAATTGATGAAGCAGAATAAAGAGTGAGGTCCCAGGAAAGCAAAGAGGACATGGAATGCAGAGCACAGAGAAGGACTGGCCTTTAATCAGCTAAGAGGCGCTTGTTGCAACAGGAAAGAGCAGCATTTGGGTGCTGACATGGGACGGATCTGGGGGTTGGATGACAAGGCAGTTCTCTTCTGAAGATTTATATTTTTCTCACTGACGTATGAAGTAAGGTTACAAATTAAGGGTGGGAGTGACAGCATAAAGAGGTTTGGCTGAAAGTTTGAGAAGAAAAAGAAAGCATACAAGGTTACTAGTAAAACATTAGATGATTGCTGAGTAATGTTGAATTTCTAAGTGAAATTCTGTGATCCTAAGTGTAAAATGAAGCTTACCTGGTTTCTTTCTCTGGTAATGCTAAGCTCCCTGTGAACAATGTGGAGAAGCTGGAGAGTTGGGCTCATCCAAGGTTAAGGTATACAACGTGGAAGAAAAGGCCACAGGCATTGGGAAATATTTTTAAGAAAGTGATTATAATAATGGGCCATGGAATTTAACCTGTACCAAGGAAAGACATGAGAGGACCCAGGAATCATGAAGAAGAGGTGGAAGCAATGGATTCAACATTTCAAAGAGGTAAAGTAATTTTTTGCTATGGGAGTGGTTGAGCAAGGAGGATGGACGGATACAATCTTCTGCCTAAAGAATGGAATTGATTCAAGATGCCGGAAACATGGCCATTTCTGATGATGACAAGTCCTTAGGTACCACCATGGAAATCTTCAGCATAAAAATATTGTTTAAACCATGAGAAGGAGTTGACGGATGGCTATGGTCAAGTGGAGATAAGAAGCCCATGAGACTGAGATATCACCATGTTGGACAGCTTCATCCAAGTAGATGTTGAAGTCATCAAGAATAATGACAGAATTGGCATGAAGAGAAAGATTGTAATCAGAAGCTATGGATAAGGGAAAATGATAATACGTGAGAGTCGCAAGATAAGGGAGACACAGGTATAGTCAGATGGTGTGGATCCCAGTGATGAGAGAGACTGTTGTCACAAACTTTTTGGAAGGCAAGTTGGAAGTATCTACCAAAATTTGAAATGCACATTTGATATAATCCACTTACAAGATTTTTTTCTACAGATGAACATGAGCATGTACATGTGCACCAAGAGATAAGTTCAATGATATTCACTGAAAAAATGTTTTGAAGAAGCAAACCTGGAAACAACTGGAATATTCACCAATAGTAGTCTGGTTAAATAAATCATGCCAGAGCTGTGCAAAGGAATACAACATAGACATAGAAGAGGAAAATGAGTCCATATGCTGCCAACATGGATCTATATCCAACATATATGGTAAGGTGGGAAAAGGGGCACTTAATAATATGTATAATATGCTTCCATTTGTATAAATAAAAAGGAATATATGCACAAACTTATATGTACGTATTTTCCTAAATATGCACACAGTATCACTAAAAGGACATCCAAGAAACAAGAATAGTGGTTATTTCCAAAGAGGGCTGTTGGGGGGTCTAAGAGAGGCAAGAGGGAGATGTGTATTTCACTCAATAGTTTCTTATAAAGATTGAATATTTAATGATATATTGTATTGCTTTTTTAAAAAAATAAAACCACTACATTTTATTTAAAAGGAAAAATACAGGGGCTTCTGTCAATTTTTTCCTGCTTGTCTAACAGATTTTGCTTTATGTCTTGATATTTTATTATTAAACACAGATTCATATCTACAACATTATTAAGGATTTTACCTTTCATCAATATTGACTATTCTCTTTTCTCTTAAAGCTTTTTACCTTGAATTTTATTTTGACAGATATTAATACTGTCTCTCTCGCATTTTTCTGTTCAGATTTGTTTTCTATACTTGGCTCAGTTCTGGAATTTTATTGCTTTTGTGCTTTTGTTTTTTTAGAAATAGCACCTATAACATGAATATAATTATTTTTTAAAATTCAAGGGCAGTCTTTTACCTTAACTTTTTATTTATACCATATGCTTAATTTTTCATTATCTTATGTTTAATTTTCTATATTTTAGGTTCCCTCACCATTTGTCTGTTTATTTGTTCATTGTAATAAGAGGACTGTGATTAGTTTGCTTGTACCTTCTGTGGTGATTTAGAACACTGATTCTCTATCTTTAATTTTACTAGTATTTACCTTTAAGATTTTCAAAAGAATCACATCCCCTCCTCCTGTCTCTCATACATGTGTGTGTACATGTTTTTCCTTAGCAATTAATTTACATAAAAATGATTTACATTTCCTTCTAAGGGCAGTCAGCTTTGATATTCATTTGTATGTGTTTTTTTATTACAAAATCATTTATTAAAATGATTGCTCCATTCTTGAGCTCTTTACTTTAAATTATTTCCTGGTTATGTGGTATGCCTCTTCTATTGTATGAGCTTTGAGCCCTTAGACTTTCTGTTGTCATATATAAAGAACAATTTGACTGGAGAGGTATTTCTTAGATTGCATAATTTTCTCCATCAAAACTCAACATAATTTCTCTTTTATCTTTTGATATCTTGTTTTGCAGAGGAAAAGTCTGGGACCTGCTTGATTTTTGTTTCTTTGAGGCTATACTTTTATTTTCATTTCGTCCTCTAGAGGATTTTATAGAATTTTAAAATTCTTCATCTTTGAAAAAATCATCAGAATATATTTAGGCATAGTACTCTTTCTGCTATTGTTACATGGAGTCTTTTGTTCTATGGATGAATATACGTTTTGGTTTTACAATTGATTATATAATTTACTAGTCTCTGGTATTTTCAATGTGTCATTTGAGAAGCACTATTATGGTTGCATCCTATCTATAACCTTCTGACCCATTTTTTTTCTTTTTTTTTGTCCTTTCCCTGCTTTCTAGGACAACTTCTCAAGTTTGAGTCTACTGATCTGCTATTGATTCTATTTTCCACCGTGTTACTTATTTACGGTACAGAACAGGAATTTTAATTCTGCTCTTAATTTTTTAATACTCTTGCAACAGTTGCCTTCTCAGTCAATATGTCTATCATCTTGAACTGAACTTCAGCTTACGGGCTTTTTATAGTATTCTGATATCTCCTTGTGATTATGTACTTTTATTTCCTATCTTAATGAGATATCATCTAAAACTGCCTTTTGTTTCCTGTGGAGCATCATTTACAAAGGCATGTAAATCATTCAATGGCTTATGTTATTCTGGTCAATTTTTAAATAAGCTCATATGCTTTCCTTTTTATACATCTTTAAATGAACAGAGAACAAGGTAGAACTAATGACTGAAGGGTGTGAAAGGTCCTTTCCATCACTTTTATTCTCTTGAGTACTTGTTATTTGTCCCTCCATATTTAAAATTGGAAGGTGAGCTGACATGGACAAGACCTAGTCCGGCTCTGCTAACACTCTTAAGTACAGTTCTGCTAGCCAGTGTCTTCTCTTAACTCCCCTACCTGACTCTGTAATTCTGAAAAAGATTTTTGTCCAAGGAAACTGAGATGGTTTGTAATCTTGCTTTAATGTAATCCAGCCTATGAAAAACCGTAATTCCCTGCACATACATCATTTCCAGGTCATTTTCTGCATTAGCTCCTGCCTACAGTAGTGTATGTGAAATAACCACAAATGCAGGCAATGTCCCGTTATCTTGTTTACAGTTATAGTCTTGAGTGGAGGAAAGTAAGGAGCCAACAAACGGTAGCTAAGGGAAAAATCCAGCTCTGTCCAGCTCAGAACATGATACCCACGTCATAGAGGGTCAGGCCCAATTCTGGTTGATGCAGACTCTACATCCATGCTGGACACTGATGGTGGGATGAGTTGAGGCTGTTTTCAATCTTTTTCCTATTAGCTGAACTATTCCACATCCAGAGAGTAAAAGACCATTTCCAAAGCTGTGTTTCTCAATCCAACCTGTAAACATTTGAGTCAACAAAATTTCCTCCAGGCTCTGGAAAACTGTTTAGTCATCTTTAATTAGCAGTTTAAGAGTTCAGTTGTTTACATCTTCATAAAAATTCATCCAGAATCAGTAAGAACCCAAGAGAGACATAGTCAGAGATTCTAATAGATTCCAAGTTGTTCTACGACCGAGTTTTTCTCCTTACCACTCTCAATAACCATGTTTCTTCTGAACTCTGTGCCATGTGACCCATCACTGAAAAATGGAGAGATAAGAACACTGCAGGAAATGTACTTTCTTGTGAGTTTAAAAGTGAAGCGAAACAAAAACACTGTAGAGCTGAGATCTTGGCAAAGACTGATCTGTGCATGTATCACCCGTGGTTACTTCAAGCTTGAAGCTCCCTCCTCTTGCTCATGACATTATAATGAAACTTGGCCGGTGTAAATGAAGAGTATGTGGAGTGGGGCAACACATGTATCAATACTATTTATCTTAACTCACCTTTAGGAAAGGTACAGGGAGATACTTGGAAAGTTTTGTGCAACACACAATGAATAGATCGAAAAGGAGATATCTTTAATTACAGATTTAAAAGGTACTAAGGTCATGTGTTCAGGAATTTCTTTGGTATGGTAGCAGTTGGGAACTGTTGACCGAAACCACGCGCCTTGGCCAGACACAGTAATAACTGCTTGCATGAGTTGTCTCACAACAGGAGGTCCCAATAAGGAACATGGTGCTGCCACCAAAAACTAACCTGGAGAATTCCAGAGGGGCTAAAAGGAGGGAGGAGACGCCAGCCCATAAGATGTCCTGCCAACCTCCCAGAAACCCTCACGCTGGAATCCATCTTGGCTGAGAGTTGCGTGTGCCACCAGGAAGGACCCTCTGTCAGACCAAATATGGGCACAAGCAAGATGACTGTCCAGAGACAACCCGGAAAGCTAACCCCACCACTATAAATCCTGAGACTACGAGCCACAGCCATGTGGCAGAGCAGTTTTCCTGGGCTCCCTTACCCGCTGCTCTCCGCCCAGCGCCCCTTCCCAATAAAATCTTTTGTTTTGTCAGTATGTGTATCTCCTGACAATTCATTTCTGAGGGTTAGACAAGAGCCCACCCTCAGGCCCTGGAAGGGGTCTCCCTTCTGGTAACAGTATAACTTGTTGCTCCTGCTGAATTTGGTCATACTATAGAAAATCTATAGGTCTAAATATTTCACACATCACGTTGCCTAATTTCTGTATGAAAAGGAACCCCATAAAGGAAATAGGTAGGAAAGTCCCCAGATGTCACTATCCACCAAGTCCATCAAATAAAACGGACATAATCCTAGACGCCTGAATTAATTCTCTACCCCAGTGGTCCCCAACCTTTTTGGCACCAGGGACCAGTTTTGTGGAAGACAATTTTTCCACCAGGGGGAGGGGTGCGGGGGATGGTTCAGGAGGTAATGAGAGCAATGGGGAGCGGCAGATGAAGCTCTTCTCACCTGCAGCTCACCTCCTGCTGTGCGGCCCGGTTCCTAACAGGGAGCTGGGGACTCCTGCTCTACCCCATGAAAATTAATCATGAAATCCTGTTAATTCAACCTCAGAATTCTCTGAATTCTTCCGTACATCGCTGCTTTATACAATCACACACACCTTCACTTACTAACAATGCCCAAATTCGAAGCCTCTTGCGTCTTCCATCTAGGAAGTATAATAACCTCCTGCTAGTTTTCTTCCAGGGGCTCTCAAGCTTGGCAGCACATTAGAATCATCTAGAAAGCTTTTTAAAAACACTCATGTATGGATGAATTCTGTGGTATGTAAATTATATCTCAATAAGGCTGTTACAAAAATACTCATGTATAAACTCCACCCTAGACTAATTAAATCGTATCTCTGGAGGTCTGGCCCTCATACTGGCATTCTCTGAAACACTACAGGGGATTCTAGTGAGCATTCATGGCAAGAATCACTGCTGTGGTCTCACACATCAGTAGCTCCCAAACCTGGATTATCAGAATGTCTGGGGGAAGTTTTCAAAATGTGGAAACTTATACCTAATCTCTACAACCTCCCCACAACCCTAGCCCCAACTTCTAATTCATTAGATCTGTGTTACTTCTGTTAAAAAAAATGCTACCCAATTGATTCTGGTTCAGATGACTGCATTGCCCACACGAGAATACTTCTGCTTTCTACAATAGTGCTTCTCAAATGTGAAAGTGCCTACAAGGAACCTGAGAGTCTTGTTAATATGAGGAATTGATTCAGTAGGTCTATGAGGGTCCTAAGATTCTGCATTTCTAATAAACTCTCAGATGATGCTGATACTAATGGTTCTGGACCACATTTTGGGCAGCAAAGTCCTTAATCTCCTAGAAATGCCATTTACCACAAAAACTCATCCTCAACCAATAAGGCTAAAAAACTGGTTTTCCCAGTCTTGATCTAGTTCTCAACTATATACCAAATGTTTGTCTTTTTTAATTCCTGACTACTTGATATTCAACAGCTACTGGAAGGAGGTAGTTGCCCATTTCTCTCCAGCTTAAACTTTATCGTGTTTTGCTTAGAAGCCCCTTTTTCAACTGATAATGGAAAAGGTTTACGTATTCCCTATTTATAGCGCTTGAATTGGTTGAACCTAACTACAAAAACAATTTTTAAGATATATTACTAAAATGTGAAGTAATAAATCACCTGTTTTTATTGTTTTCACTTTACTGCCTTCAAATCTCAGATTAAATGCTACTTCCTCCAAGAAGCCTTTCCTGACTGTGCTTGCTCACAATAACTTTATGCACCAAAGGTCTCACCCCCATCCACTAGAACTTGCATCTGAGGGGCTGACATCTCCTTTGGCTCAACACTGAACAGCTACACAAGAACTCAACTTGAAAATCATCAATTCATTCATTAGATAAACTGTCCTTACTGACATCTATTTATATCCAACTGCAGATTCCCAAAATTGTCAGACTGCAATAGACTAAAAATTGGTTTATATCTGTATTTTCTCTTCCATTCAAGATACATCCTGGAAATGGCACCCTCTGATTCTTTCTTTAGAAAATCCAGGCACTGAGACTCCAGATCAATCCTAAGTAATCTATTCCAAGGCGGCCTATGATGATTACCAAAGATTATCTGCAAAATGCTAGCACTGATTAAGGTTTGTTATCTGCCTCCCAGGTGATGAGACCAGACAGTCATTCAACATAACTTCCAGGTGTGGAAAGAGTTGGCTCCAAGTCATCTTGTACAAAAGAGCAGCTTACAACGTCAACAGCAGAAAGAAAAAGGGAGGGAGATTGCCTAAGAAGAAAAGGTTCAGGGAGCTTTGATGAGATAAATGATGAGGAAAGAGCAAGAGAGATTAAAAGGTCAGGGGCATAGTTCTGGGTGCTGGGTACTTGAACAGGAAGTAGAACACACGTTAGTGAAATGTAGGCTACAGCCACATTGTTGACTAAAGACGTACACATATGGTTAATGGCACGTATTCTGAATAATCAACAGCAAAAGAAGTGTTTTGCTTCTCAGACAACAAAATTAGGGCATGTTATTCCTGACTGAGGCACCCATGTCTCAATATAGCTTAAAGCATACATTCTTTCCTTTTTCAATTCCTCTTTACTCATTTCTCTGGCATGAACCAGAGTTCTGTTTCTCTGTATAAATCTTTGCCAAGCTTTACGTGCTGGGTTTTGTTACAACTTAACCACCTATCTTTAGTCTGTCATTTTTTATATCTCCCATCCATATAAAGAATTGTTACTGTGCTATATTCCTCATAGAAAACACCAAGAACTTTCAGGGCAAAGAATGCTCTTACACAATGAACTATTGATGTTTAAAATGAAAATAGAATTCAAGTCAGAGTTCTGCAGCTGAGGGGGAAAAAAACAATTTAGCTGTGAATTATAAATAAAATCCAGAGATCACTCTGCACTGGACAATAGTAGTGAGACAAATGTGATGTATGAAGTTTCAATATTTCAACTTGTATTGTTCTTTCCTTCAAATAACAATGGAGTAATTTACAAGCACTCAGTGTTTCTATTCCAGGCCATTACACTTGTGTTTACTAATTCCCACAGTTACTGACCTGATTGTTGTATGGCATTTGGCTATTAGCCGCATCAGCTCTCTAGAAGTTCGCCTGCTACACTAGCAACTCTGATGGCTTCCAGCACCAAGCTAAACAAGTCAACAGACCAAGCCTTCATAAAGATATCTTAGTTGCTAGTTTAAATTCATTCCCTTCTGCATATATGGGTAACAAGGTAATCCAATTCCCCTGATAATGAGAGGAGCGTGGCTCCCATTTTCTTTGCTTCTCACGAACTTCTGCTATCCAGTTGGACAGGATGATGAAGACCTGATCATTATGAGACACACTGAGCCATCAGACAAAAAAGAAACCCTACAAAGATATCTAAGATGTCAGACCTGAAAAAGGGTGAAACACTTTCATTCAAAGATACTCATTCTTCCAGGAAGGAAACAAATGCTTTCCGGAGTGACTGTTCCATTAGGTCACCTATCGAGCTAAAAGACCAGAAGAATTTGCCATCTTCTCTGCTCTTAGTAAAGTTTTGAGTCCAGATGTCTGAGTCCATGAGCTACCTGCTGCTTCCAAGAGCCACCCCCATCAGTCTGGACGCAGAAGGCTAAACAGATTAGAAGTCATGTCATCCTCACCTGATGAAATAAGAGTCGGCCAGAGACCTGTCCAAAGCCACACTGATGATTTAAAAAGGGATCTAAGTGACAGGAGACTGCTTTGCAAGATGCCATTTGAAAAGTATCCCACCCTCCTTCCAGCTACAAAATACTTTGCAGTTTTCTATTTTGGCAGACGCAGTAAATTAATGCTAATGAGACAACTATTATAATTATTACTACTATCCTAACCATTTTGAGACTGATATATGCCAGGTTTACTGCTAAATGCTTAATATGCATTATCCATTAATTCCCATAAGTAATATTTATTGAGCATCTGCTATGGGTATCAGGGTTACAGCAATGTTCAAACCAGACTCAATCCCTTCCCTAGAGAAAGCACACATTCTGGTTAATTTATTTACTTAATCTTCACAATAAACTTACTAGATAGGTACTATTATTAAAATTTGCCCGAGTACACAGTAAATAAGTGATGGGGCAGGATTTAAAACCAAGGCACCCTGATTCCAAAGCCGTGTTCTTAACCTCTTAACTATGCTGATGTTCTGAGGCAAACCTGGACTATACAATGTGGTAGGGCTGGAAACAAGGTGAGCTCTTAGAGTACTTGGTGTCTTTACACTGGGAGACATGTTTGTCAGTTTCTAGGCAAGCAAGATAAGTAGGTTTTCCAGTTGTCAAAATGAGGGACAAAAAAAATTGCCCAATATTATCCATCTGGCAAGTGGGAAAGCTGATGTGGCTAAGAATCTCTCCTACTTGGAGATGCTGTTTAAGACATCTTCAGGCTCAGATCTTGGACAGTGATTTCTCAAATTTCTTCAGACACAAATCCTAATGTCATTGGGCGCTTTGCAACTCATCATGAATGATGGAGGTTTTATACTCAAATCACACAGTGCTGAATTGTGTATGTTCAGCACATCCCAGGCTCTAGATAAGAAACAGCAGGTGCCAAATTTAAGAAAAAACATGGAAGCATGTCTTTCAAATAAACACATTCTGTGTATTAATTTACTTTCATGCAAAGTAGGACAACACCTGTATTCTTCCATTTTAGTAGCAGACCCCTCATGGAGCCCCTGAAACAACAGTAATAGACTCACTGCTCTTGGATCAGCCCCATTGTCTGGTTTTCTAATTCTTTTGCCTCTAACTGCAGCCTCTGAGAACCCGACCTCCCAACACCAAATGGAGAGAAAAAACAGTTCTGATTTAAAGCTCATCCAGGATCCTTAACCATGAGTCTATCAATTCCAAAACCTTCCTTATGTTTATAAGGGCTTCTTAACTGCTGAAATTTTCTCTCTTTTAATTAATTTTATTGAAGTATAGTTGATCTACAATGTTGTGTTAGTTTCTGGTGTACAGCAAAGTGATTT